GCCGGCATCTTGCTGAGTTCCTCCAAGCACTCCTGGCCGACAAACGGGAGCCTGACGTGCCTGACTACGGACAGGAAGCTCCTCTGCTTTGCCTCGCGTTTCTCTCCGTGCGTAAGCCATTCCAAAAGTGCCCTCAAGAGCTCCGCCTCACTCCTCACGTTCAGATTCTCGTGGGCAGCATACTGGCTCAGCAGCTGTGGGCTTGCATTGAGGAAGGCCTCCGTCTTGCACACCTGTGGGAACTCCCGGACTACATACCCGCAGGCAGCTCGGCTGAGTTCCTCGCAACCCTGGGACTCAGCAAAACTGTGCATCTCGATGCAGTTGTCCACATCCAACTGCCTGATGAGAAAGTTGCTGCAGGCGTACACCAGGCACTTGATCAGGAAAAAGTTAGACGTGGACAGAAGTTCTTGCACATTCTCTGTTGTTATTCGCACCTGTTGGAATCAATTTTAAAGCAACGTTCACTGCCTTCGCAAAAGGGTTCAGTGTATGAGCTTAATAACACAAATATAAATTTTTGACAGGAAACAAAAGCACAGAATATTGAGACATACTGTACATGTATTCCTCAAAGAAGATGATCATACAATCGTAGTTAAGTGCAATGTCAAATATTGAAAAGAAAATCTACCGTGTATCGTGCTGTATTCAAAGCGAAGGCAACTGCATCAGAACCTCATGGTTTCTGTCAATAAAACCTTATATTTCAATCCCATCAAAATCTTTTACATGCAATTTTGGATAAAGTCTTGAAAGAACATCGCAGCAAAGGCTCTAGAAAATTAATACATTTGTACCTGTGATGTGTAAATGTAATCCACTATCATCTGTAGCATATTTGGGTTGACATCCTGAAGTGTCACTTTCCTCTGGCCCCTTTCCTCTACATTGCGGGTGAACATGGCCTTGAAATACGGGCTGCTGGCTGCCAAAACGACTCTTGGGAATCAGCAAGAAGGAATACATTTACATGCGTAAATTATCAAGCTATTATTTCTAATAAGGTATTAAAGGGAGCTGCGTCTAAGTAGTTTCTCCTTTCAGAAATGCTGGACATGAAAGAAGACACAACATGAAGGGAAGCTAGGGAACAAAGAATGTTTGACTGTCCTCAGCGGTCAGTCTCTTGTACTTGGTGTCGAGCGCCTGAGCTTGGTCTGTGGAAGACTTTCATATTGCAGGATCAATAGTAAAACACAAAACTACCTTTACATGGACTGATCAGTGCCAATGTACGGGCTAGACAGTGTAAGAAAGAGTTCATGCGCGCACGTTTTGATAAATTGGGACAGTAGGCCGGCATGAAATCATGACAACAGAATGAAATGCACAAACCTGTGACAAGGGATTTCCTTCTCTCCTACAGTAAGTACAACATCAATCAAATCATTGCCATGTCTGAGCTCGTTGAATGATGCCAGAACAGTGCCTGGCAGGGCATAATTTTCAAAATTGCAGAAGTCCCGCTGTTCCTGCTTCCAGGCAATGTCCTCAATGGAGGACACAGTTGGCCTAGATGATGCCATCTTCACTGACGATCATAAATGTAAAACTCACTCAAGACATGTCAGGAACAATAGATCCAACAGTGCTGAATAAAGACAAAAAAGTCAAAATTCATTTGAGTTTTTGAATCAAAAGCACTTGAAAATGTTCATCTAACTGAGCATCCATGGCTGACTATTAATGCTATGCGATTGACGCATACACAAAAACAAATGGCGAGACAACATCGGTTTTCAGGAATACTAGACATTAATTACTGCTAGAAAAGCTGTTGCTAAACTGGCATAAATTAATGAAACTTTGAGAGTGCACAAATATGGATGTATAGGGTTCGAGCACATTTGGTCATGCTGGTAAACTGGTTAAAAGCCCACATTAGCCTGCAACTCCTTCATGACACCCAGGAGTTATGTAACCTTTCGTGGTAAAAAAAACTGCTACATTACGACAAATTAATGGTGCTTTTACCTTACTTTTAACTCCAGTTACAAGGGCTCCCTGATGAACCCCAAAAAGTCATGATAGTTGTGTACATAACATGTAAGTTCATGGGCAAAAAAGGTAGGCCTACAGGCAGACTAGTCCCGTGAATGGGGCCCAGGGTACTAGACTGCCTCTGTACCAAGGGCATGGATACCCATGAGCACGGTGGGCAACAAACCACACGGTTGTGGGGGTAGGGTATGGAGGCAGTCCAGTCATTCCAATACCTGGGCCCCCAAGGCTAGGCCTAGACCAGAGATGAAAACTTGCACATGGATGGGCACACTACCACACAGTTGTATACATGCATTCATCCGAGAGCTTTTGCAACCTGAGATCACAGCAAGATGAAAAAATCCTTGACTTGTCATAGACTCGTAATGTAATTTTTTTTCACGATAAAAGGTAAACAAAGCTTCCAGATGGCGCAGGATTTGAATGTCCAAATTGTTTGGCGTAAATATTTTATTCGTCATGCCATGGGTTTAAAAAACCATAGCATATCAGCACAGTCTACTAGTAAGGTTTATACAAACCTTAAATACAGCCATGTACAAACTCCCATAAACATTCTGACTGTTTTGATTGTGCTAACCTACTCTTCCATCACAGCTATTTATGCAACCAAATTTCACACATGTATGCCTTCTTGATGAAGTTAGATGACAGGTGGGGAGGTTTATTCACGTTATATCCTCTTTAACCCTCCTTTGGTTTTACAGCACAAATGTGCACAAATNTGCACATGAAACAGTGAAGCACAGTTCTTAGGCAGCACAAAAGTGCAATCTGATATTCCTGTGAGGGACAGTTAGTGCAGTGCACAACACAACACAGCTGTGCTTCTTTGGGGTGTTTACCAAATGACCCAAAGAGTGACTTCAGCATAGGAGGGTTAACCCTCCTTTGGTTTTACAGCACAAATGTGCACAAATGCCCACAGTCACTGGTGAGCATGTATTTTCTATATGGAACTCAAACATGCACAGGTTCAGTGTGTAAACAGTAGACTGCCAGCACAAAATGACCCAGGGTCTTTTGTGCAGTCCTCTTCACTGCATTTGGTTTACTGCACAATTATGCAAATGAAACAGTGAAGCACAGTTGTTGGGCAGGACAAAAGTGCAATTTGATATTCCTGTGAGGGACTGTTGGTGCAGTGCACAACACAACACAGCTGTGCTTCTTTGAGGTGTTTACCAAATGACCCAAAGAGTGACTTCCGCACAGCAGGGTTAAAATGGATGGTGCAATTCTTGAGCATTTGCCCATCCACACTACAGAAAATCAGCAGCAAGTACTCTCAATAATTGTCCGCTGTGGGATAGCTTGATAAGCTTGACAAATCGCAACACAGCTCCTATCTTTTCATTTTGTTTTCCTGACCAAAATGAAAGCTGAGCTGTGATTGGTGAATGGAATGGAAGCAAATTGGATCAATCACAGAGCAGATTTCATTTGTGGGTGACAGGTAAACTGACTCGTAATGTAATGGGTTTTTTCGCTTTAAGGTTAACAAGATGCCTGCTAGTTTGAAAAGACTGCAAAAGTTGAGTATGTAAATGGCTCAGCCATGTCAACACAATCATCCCGATTTAGCACATGGTGTACATTGTGTCATGATAATTGATAATTAGGATTCATGTCAAAAATGAGCTCGTGCGTTTTTTTTTACCCCTCTCTTTCCCCTTATATCCTCTTCTCCCTTTCTCCAAATTTGTATGCAATAACTGTCTCCCCCTTTTTTCCCCCCTCTGTTCATGCCTTGCCAGGCCTCTCCAAGGTTCTCCCTTCCTTTCTCACCTGTGTCCTAGGTCGAACGTTCTCTTCTTACTGCTTTTTTATAATTTTAGTGTCTTTTCTTGGTGCTCTTTTGTTAAACTGTGCAATTGGTCTATCTGAAACTTCTCCGAGCTGGGTTTACAACTTGAATTCTTTCTGAGCTTTTGATATTTCTTATTGACAACTGTTTGATGTCAATAAACACAGACAACGATCATGACGATATCGGTAAGCAAGGCTTATCGCGCCCAAAATGCCAATTACTTTCCATTACCGAACCACAATGTTTTTCTCATAGGAGGCCTAACTACCGACCTTGATGATAGTTTTATTGACCACTTTTGACAGGCGATTTCAATAGAAAACATCAGTAAAATAAGTGAACATCACTATGATTTTAAGTATGAATGTTGCTCAAGACGTGAGTCGCCATGTTGTACTCCTGCAATATGCCATGACCAATTTCGAAAAGCGCCCATTCATGAACTTTGGGCAATGTAGACTGGTAGCCTTTGCACGAAATAAAATCCGGGTACCAGCAAAAGGCTCGTTGTTGACAAATGGACAAGAATGCAATATGGCAAGTATGACAGACTCCTTGTTCCCAGGTGCTCCACAACACAGTACGGGAACTTTGAATAGAGACTGAAAGTAAAAGGTCACGCAGCGAGCTTCCGGAACCCTTGCGCGGTCTGCCTTTGGGGATTTTACATTGGGCCGTCCTATCACGTTCGATAATTTTTGGAAAAATAATTCCTTACTGAAACCACCCCATGAAACACCCATTTTGGAATTTTACCTTTGTATTCCTCAAGTAATTATATTTTGGAAAGGTGACCCATAGATGGGTAAAACGAATTTCATTAACGACCTTTCATACTTCAGGCAATATATCGTTCCTATAGATCTCACTGTTCGTGCACATTTGTTTTCATTCCCCGTGCTTACGAGATTGAACAACCTTGCAAAATTGAAGATTTACCTACCTGCCGGGATGGATTCTAGATTTCAGTCGAGTTGACCTGGCGCAGTTTTTGTTGGCAAAGGTCAGATTAAAGCTTCATAAAAGCAGAACCTTGTTTGAAGTTTATTTCCTTATAAATTATAATAGTTCCGTAAAATATTTTTGGTCAGTTTTTATTAAGGCCTACCATATAGTGTAATTCCGTCTTTTCATCTGTGTGCGAGTTAGACCACTGCATTGGACTAACTTCATGTATTTTATATTTTTGGAAGTGATATTTCTCTTTTACGTTTGGTGATTTTTCCGCTTCTTTGATATGCTAGAAAATACTTCTCAATTAAAAGTTATTTTATTTATAAGTTGAGTTTTTAAGAAGGATCTGAACGAAAAATATTACCGTTACTAATTCAGAAATGTTTACACGTTATTTTTCATATCCAAAGGTTCCAGTTGCGTGCCATCAGGGGTCAACTTTCAGGCTCCATTACAGAAAAGTGCAGCCAGTAAAAAATGTAGATCTAATATAAAGACTCACAATTCAGGGAGAGCAATGGAGGCAAGACATTTTTTTTGCTACATCAAAATCGGGGATTTTTGCTGGCTAGAAATGGCAAAAGTAGGGAGAGCCTTGCCGGTAAAACGTTTGTAAACAAAAAACGAAAAAAAGCCTATTCAACTCTTTTTTGGGGGGGCAGAGGTCAAGTGAACATTATTCAAAACTAACTTGAAATCGTCCATCGTCGGCATACTTTCCATATGTTAATTTTCAGAGAGATAATTAATACGAAGGTTTTTCAGTAGTCTGCAGTGATTGAACGGCGCCAAGCGGTTTTTTCGTGTGTCCTGAACCATTCGTGGGAACGCACTGGCTCCACATCTCCTTGCCATTTGTATGCTTTTGGACTCTCAGCCATCGACGCCACTTCAGTTTAAACCACGCCCACTGCACAAGATAAACGACCATCGCAGGTACGTTAGTTCGCGGTCATTTGTAGTTATTTTTTTCTTTTAATTTTAC